TTCCCGAGCTTTACCGCGGATGGTCCGTTAATTTCAGCGCGACGAACGGCCTGTACGTCTTTTGGCCTCCGTCGTCGTCGTCGTCGTCGTCGTCTGCGACTTATCCTCGACGCTCCCCTCCATCTCCCCCGCACCCCACTCTCCATCACCCCCGCACGCGGCGACCGTATCGAATTTCCCCGCAAGAATTCGTCCGCCATCGCGGGGCGATCAACGGCGAAGCGGCGGAAACTAAAACCGATGAAACGGAAAGCGAAAAGGCCATCACGCTGGAGATGATCGCGAAGGAGGCCGAGGTCGCCCTCGTTGAGGTGGAGGAGTGGTTGACCGATCAATGCTATCGAAGTCCAACCATCGATCGCGCCGTGGTGAAGTTGTTCAGCATCCACTACGAGTATGTCGCCGAGATCGACGAGGGAAGGCAGCCCACGCGAGGAAAACACCGCCGCTCGAGAGGCGATAGGGATAAAGAAAAAGATCGAGATCCCATTGATGATAACTTGGATCGATCTCGCAGACGAAGAAGCTAACTCAATATGGAAAAGGGAGGATAAAACCATCCCGAATTTTAAAAGAGTAAAGTTTCTATACTTAAACACCCTTTTCTCCAAGAGGAAGAGAGATTATGCACAAAGTGAATCATTTGATCTTTGTCTTTGATATACATATATATAAAATCCAAAGCAATCCAATAAAAAGACGTGGAGTGTGCAGAGGAAGGAAAAGAAGAAATTGATCTCTTAATACTCATAATTCAAATTGATAGGGTGGAATGCTTAAAAAAAAAGTATCATTTCTATGCCCATGCACAAATAATTGTAATCCTGCGTAATACGTGTAAACACATGAAAACAGGAGTTTAAATGATATGGTAACGGTATGATTGTTGATGAGGTCGCTTACTTTTTTCCACACATTTAAACAAAATTCAATTGACGTCTTTTTGTTTCTTGCGCGCCTTTTCAACGGGGGATTGCCCGGAGAAGGATGATGCGCGAAATCAACCGACCAAGGAAATGCGAAACCATATTAAAACTAATTCCATGCCTAATTTCTCAGTTTATAAATTCGCTGTATTTGGTTCAAATTTACTTGATCGTTCATCTCATGTTCCTGTTGTGGCGCAGATGACCACCGGTAACCACCACTAATTCCTATGTGTTCAACCCAATCCATTTTCCTATGGTTTAACGTGTAACAACCCCCACCCTCCCCTTTCTTAAAAAAAAAAAAAAGAAAAAAAATGTAACTTCTGTAACTGACAGCACCCTCCAACTCCCTCTCTTTTCCTTCCCTCTGTTCTCGTGACACTCATTTCGGTTACACCGCCCAAAGCTGAACACGACTACCACCACACACAGCTGTCTGTGCTTACCCTCAGCCCCCGGACCTTGGTCTTTCCCCCCTCCTCCCTCCACCCTCCTCTGTGACACCCCCCAATCCACATCCATTACTGGCCCAATAAGAGGGGCTTTGGG